AAGCGCCTCAAATTCAAGACTGGCTTTATGGTTTCATTGTTGTCCACTGAGTACATGGTATAAATTATTTCAGTCACCCCCTCATAAAATAGTGCTCAAGTACTTTAAATATGAAATGAATGTCAAATTCATTTCCATAGATATATTAGCATATATTTCCTAAGGGTGTAACTAAACTGAAGTATGACTACTTCTGTATAGAGAGACCCACCCAGTCTAATCCTTGCATTGGTTGCTGAGCTACTGCTGTTGGGACAACTGTAGTGGCCACTTGAAATGTGGCTCTGGATGTGATCTTGAAAACCACCCTCTAACTGATTGCAGCCTTCTAGATATTGTCCATATTACAGAAATTGATAATCTAGCATTTATGTATACTTGTATTTGCTTTTTAAGCAAGTCTAAATAAGAAACCTATTTGTAAATGAATATTAGGACAAGCTAGAACTTGTTATTTTGAAATTAAATATAGAGCTAAAATTTTATACTCTAGCACACACAAAAAAAACTCCCAAAACAAAAATTAAACAAAATAAACCACAAAACCAAACCTGATTTCATCTTCTTGATAATTTGTTGCTTTTTCTATGCATGTTAGTCAAGTACAAGGGAGCCCCTGGTGGTCTAGTGGTTAAGGATGCGGCGCTGTCACTGCCGAGGCCTGGGTTTGATTCCCGGTCGGGGCCACTCCCCAGGCAGATGGAGCTCAGTAGCCCTGTAAAGCAATCCATCTACGTCCTGAGGACCTCGCTGCCACTGTCCAAGCTCTCTTGGCCCCAGCAGATGAACCTCAGGATTAAAGGGTGGGCTCAGTTCCGCGCACACAGTGTCTCACCTAAAAAATCCAATGCGCAGGCTGGAAGGTGGAAAGACCTTCCCCGATTCTTCGTTCGCGAAGACTGGCCATTATATATAGTCAAGTACAAGATAAAAGGTAGTCCAAAGCTAGTAAACATGTATCCCAGAGAAAAAATCAATCCAAAACACTATCTCAGAAATATTTGTGAGTACTCATCTCATGAAGGATACAGTATAACTTATCAAAAAAAAAGATGAGAAAAGAAATAGGCTTCCTTGGAAGATATTCACACTTACCATAACCAATTCTACCTTAAAACATGCATAATGCTAAAACAGTTTTCCAGCACCTAAGGGACCAAAAAGGCAAATGAAAAGCAAGTCATGTCAAGAAAAATGACTTGATAAAAATGTTTCTAAAATTTGAAAATGGTAAAGAGAAATGTATTGTTTCAGCCATGAATATGTCTGAGGAATTTTAAAAATATAAATTTATATGTTTTTTCTGTACATACTGAGAAATAAGTTCTTGTTCTTTAGTTAAAATTTATGTATAGTTCTCTTAAGAGATGTTGTACCTGTGACCAGTGAATAAGACTGCCAGAATTTCCCAGGATACATCATCAGATCTTTTTTCTGGTGCCATTCTTTCTCCTTTTAGCACTTTACAGTTGGAACTTTGACATTTTTGACACTTTGACATTCATCATGGCAACCCCTAATAAAAGCTATTGACTCCCATGATGTCAAAATACTTGGTACCTGACAGCTAGTAACTTTGGTTGCTTAGATATCCACTGTGTTGAAAACTAGTGTTATTGACAAACAGAAAGATGTGATTTCACATTGTAGGTCCCACAAATTACTCTTCTCAAATGTAAACTGTTTGGGACTTGATTGAGACAAGTAACGACCACATCAATTTGGCCAGCAGTTCATAAGTAAAAGCAGGAGATTTTACGAGTTTTATATGTTGATAGGCATGATGCTCCTGACACTCATTGCATGCTTCTGTTAACATTGATTTATCACTATAAAAAAATGATTCTACAGTAGCTCTCAGAGCCAATATTCTGATGATCTTCATTTTATTATGCAAACAGACAAAGATAGTCAAAATCTACAAAGACACTATTTAAGCAGTATGAGTTCAGTTGGAAAATTATATTTAATAAATATTTTCATCATATAGTTTCAGACAAAATTTACAGATATCTATCCAAGATTGATTTGACAGTGCTATATAAAGGGAAAACTCTGGAGATATCAAATCTGGCATGGTAAAGAACTTAATAATCATGTTGAGGAAGGATTATTAGGAGAGGATAGCAAGAGTCTAATACATATTGTCAATATGTAAATGAATTATAGTGTGTAAAGAAAAAACAAAAACATGTAAATTTAGATATTTTTCATGTCATTTACAATCTCTTTCAAAGCTTTGATGGAAAAAATTCCAGGAAGCAATTGGGAATTTTTTTTGCTCATCAGCAAATAAATTATTTATGAATTGAAACAGTAGGATGGGGCAATCACACATAAATAGATTTTATGAGGCTTCTGAGGAAATTAAAAAGTGTTGTGGTGGATTTGTTAACATGTGGTGTTGCTTAGATTTAGTTGGTTTAGTTTTTACAGAGAAAGATGTCTCAACAGGGCTATATGACAACACAAAAATCAGGGATGATGGTGGGGATTTCTTGGACAAAAGAAACTAGCAAAAAAAACTTTACAAAAACATTCCCTTTGTGTTTTGTAATTCTTACTTCTATTGAGGGAATTAACATTGTATAATTACTCTTATTTAAAAGGAGTAAAAAGCCTAGGTTAATATAAATGAAATAGTCTAGGTCTGAATCTAAATATTTCTATATCTTTCAGGTATAAGAAAGTAACTGAAACAGATGTCATTACTATTTAAACAATATCTAGAAAATATGGGCACTGTGTTTAAGAAGATTTATTACTATGTGGTTTTGTGTATTTTTTTTCCTTGAGAACTTGTGTTATACTCCTAAATTTGTGAGAACTTCACTCTGACTTGTAGTGTGCTTATGACAGGTAACAATATGTTATTGTTTGGGTTATAACAGCCCAAATAATGGAGCTTTTATTTAGGCTAGTCTTTCAGTGGCTCTTATCAGACTCTTAAAATGATGTGGAAATTAGAGGGCTTAGTATAAATCAAGTAAATCCCATTTTCTCAATTGAATGTAAAGTGCATTTCCTGGTTGTTTTATCCTTTTTCTTGATAAAAGACACTAGACCTAGCATAGAAAGCTGCATTAAATATTCTTTTCCGTGATCACTGGTAATTATCACTGCACTCATCAGTTCAAAATTGATAATCTCTTCTATATAATTTTCTTGATATCTTCCAATTGTGCCACTGCATAGTTTGTTCTTTAAAACTGTAAATTGAACCCGAGTTTCTCTGTCTCTGGCAATGGTATAACCATTCTGTAGGTCTGAGGTGAGAACATGCTTCCCTTTAGTAGACTTTTTCCTAATATTTTCCATGCATAGAGTTCTTGATAGCAATTTTTCCAGTGACAGTGTGGTCATGGCCATGATGAGAAGGAGGATGTCATTGTAGATGGAACTTACTCTCAGTTTTTAAGAAGACAAACAGAATAAAGCAGAAGGGCATAGGTTTTTTCAGGTAATACATGCAGAGAAGTAAAATATATTTTTTATTATAGAAGAGTAGTTATCTGGATTTGAATGGGGGAAACAGCAACATTGGTTTCTCTGATTCTCTGGTTGTTGGGACTAAATACTGACACAGTAGAAAGAAGAGAATGAAACGATGCTGCTGAAGTAATTAAAGGGAGAAGGGATAAGTGAACAAAATGATCTATAAATTGTCTGAACCCTAGCTAAGGTCAGGTTTTTTTCACTAGGAGATTGTTAACAAGGTATGTAGCAATGAAGGGATTTTATAATGAGGAATTCAATATAACAATCTGAATGTACAGCCTCTATATTAAAATAGTGCAGACCACAGACTAAAGAACTACACAGCTCAGGATAGGAATCTGTGATTAATAGGGACATTTTTATTTTTTTGTCAGTGACTGGCCTATTTCATCTTTCTGCCTCACTTCTTCACGTGTAAACAATGGCTGGCAATTATGGATTTTTGGGGGAGATAGCAAGAGGAACTGCTTCTGTTTTTAATATAGGTTTGGCCAGCTAATGAACTTTTCACTGAGCAAGTCTAATAATAATCTTATAATTTGAACAAATTATTTATTAATGTGGAGAGGTGCAAAACATTTTCACAGTTTGTACTCTTTAACACAGATATCATAAACAAAAAAGGACAGTCTTTTCCTCTTTGGTAGAACATTGATGAAATGAGGGTGGATGTCATGTTGGAATGAATCAAATTGTGTGTGTTGATGACTCAGTGAAAGAGATGATAGAGAAACTCAGGTATACTTGAAATACCACTTACTGTTTTTGTGGGGAATCATCCTGATTTTGGTTGAGATAGAGTTCATTTTCTTCCTAGTAGCTGGTACAGTGCTGTGTTCTGGATTTAGTATGAGAATAGTGTTTATTAGCACACTGATGTTTCAGTTGTTGATTAGTGGTACTTACCCTAAACTCAGGACTTTTCAGTTTCCTCTGCTTTGCCAGTGAGGAGCGGTACAAGAAGATGGAAGGGAACATGACCAGGACAGCTGATCTGAACTGACTAAAGGGATATTGCATACCACTGAACATTATGTCCAACATATAAACTGGGGGAGTTGGGTGGAAATTGCCGGTCAAAGCTTGAGAACTGGCTGGACATCAGTCAGCAGATGGTGGGCAACTGAATTGCATATCGCTAGTCTTTCTTGGATTTTTTTCTCTCACTTTTTGTTGCAGTTGTTGTTATTTTTACTATTGTAATAATTATAATATTTTAATTTTAATGGGGTTTATCTTTTTTTTTCCTCAGTTCTCCTCCCCATCCCACTATGCGTTGGGGAGTGAGTGAGCAACTGGGGGGTGCTTAGTTGTCAAAGGTTGTACCCATAATAAAGTAAAACTATAAAAGATCGAATTCAAAATATCATCATTTTTTTTTGACTCCTGCTTTCATGAAAAATTGAATGATCATTCAAAATTATGTTTTGTTTATTGTTAACTTTGTCTATTTAAAATAACTTTTTTATAACTTTTCCCTTGTCTTCTTTTCTTTTTAACAGCACCTTCAGGCTTGAAGGAATACCTATATTTGGAGGCACGCCAGTTACTTTCTTGCATATCAGATTCATCATTGTGACTTCCTGCAGGCCAGATCTGAGAAGTAACCAGGAACCTGAACTTTAGTGGAGAATGGAAAAGCCCTTCAAGTGAGAGCACAACTGATCACTAGTGTAATCTGCATTGAGTCATCTTTCTCAGATCTGACAGCTACAAGCTGAGTCCCGGCAAAAGCCACAGCCTTAAATTCCATTCAGTGGGAAAGAAGGATAAGAGAACTAAATGTCTTGCCCCATTGCAGAGACTGCTGTCTCCAAGCCTGACACCCAAGTTCTGTGCTGAGCAACCAGAGTAACAGTGAGGTTTTTTTATGAGTACAGCCAGCATCCACAAATATTTCAATATGTAGCCAAAAGGAGAAATGAAGGACTTGTGATATCAGAAAATGAATACATTTATTGAAACAGAGGAATGTTACTGTGGGGAAAGAAGACCTCTGTCATCCCTTGTACATATTCAAAGCCATACAGGAACAGGGCACAAGTGAAGTTAAATCACTTAAAAGGATGCTGTCTCCTGTTCTCTACCCAACTTTGAGGAAGCTCTGCTGTTAAAGATTGTGTCGCAATGCACTTCTAGTATTTGCACTGTCACTTCCATTCAGGGTAATGATGTGTGCCACCATTTTTGCACAGATGGCCCCAGGAGATTTTTGACCACAACAAGCTATACTTTGCCGGGGCTCCAAAAGGAATTAAAAAGTTAGAACTGAAGAAAGACATTTATGCTCTCTTTCACTATGGGGATCTCTTCACAGAAAGGACTTTGGTCCTTTCTTAGGATTAAATAAGTACATGCATATACATACATATATATATATATGTATATATATGAAGCAGCATCAACATGATAAGGTGTATTTAAAAAGGGGATATAATCTTTTTTAATAGCATCCATTTTTTTTATCATATTAGCAGCCAAGAAATTTAGTCTATTGAATTATACATCCAAAATGTTCCTATTGAACATTGACATTTTAGTCCCAGTTACTGTTAAAGAAGTCATTTGTAATATGTACTTGACATTAAATTTTTCTAGCCATTTGTCTATACTTCATGAAGAAATCTAACAGACAAACAGCATTTTCAGTTTATATTTCTAAATAAATATGTTGTTTGTATTATTTGCAGTCACTCATTTTGGCTGGTTTTCATTATCTTGAAAAGGGATTTAAAGAAGAACCAAAACACAAAAATTGTTTGTTCTTGTTAAGCTGTAATGATTTGATGAATGAAAGCTTTAATATAAATACTGTAATTTGTAAAATGATGAAGTATATTTATATAGGTAAATATGTATGGAAAACAAAAGGAGGTATTTTAACTCTTAATTTCAGAACATAGTTTATTTTAATAACCACAGGAAGAAATTAAATATATAATGGATAGGGATTTTTTATGGTCAGTGGGTTTTAGTAAGTGAAGATTTGGATGCTTAAGAATGAGATGAATGTAGTCTAATAATTGTGGTTTCCCAAATTATTCAGAGACCTTTTGTCAGCTGTCTCATTTTATTCAAACATTGGTTTAGTTTTCTGGGAGTTGGGGTTTTTTAGGGTGCATGTGTGCTAGCGTTTTCATCTGGGTTTTGTTTGTATTAGCATACTGACAAGACCATGAACTTGATACTATTTGATAAGTTACAGAAAAAGAGGTTGTTCCTTAGGATGATCTACACTTTACAGTTAAGAACAGTCATTGTTATCCATCTAATTCAGTGGTTTGTTGTACAGTTATTGGACATTTCAATGCTAGAGTTGTTTTGAATAAAAACCCTTTTTTTCATTTTTTTCTTAGTCCATTAGCCTGTGTGTAATTTTAAGAGAAAAGTAATGCATTTGGTTCCCAGTTTATTCAAATCATTCATCTTAAATCCAGTCATATGTAGCTGATTTATAAAGCTGAATAGGTTTTTCTTTTATTTTATTGCTTTATGGAACCTATTAAGTGCTCACTAACAGAAAAAAAAAATATCTTTCAAAAAAAATTAATCTGTGGGTTAACTTTGTAAAGGGCAAATATCTTAAAAATGTGTTGCTCTGCTTTAATGTGGTAACCAGTGTATGCGTGTATGTTTGTGTGTGTGCACACATGCACACCCTTACTTGCTCATGAATGAAATGCCAGCTCTGCTGAAGTGAGTGCCACAAGTCCTGTTTCTGCAAAAGATGCTCATATTACTGCATTTTTTGGTGAAAGACCTGAGCTCTGTCTTTGCTTGTGACTCTGAAGCCATAAACAGCTTTTGAAGTTTGTCAGGAAATCAGAAAATGAAATAATAAGTTTATATTAGACTCCGTCATTTGGCAAAACTTGGGATGATCTAATGATATGACTCTTTTCTTTTAAAGAAAATGAATGGTCAATTTCCATTGGTGCAATGGATAAATGAAACCTTTTTTGTATTTGTTAAAAAATGATGGCTGTGTTTTGTTCACATACAATTTAGCTTACGGTTGGCTTACAGTCTTGTTACGATGATGTCATTTCTGTGTCATTAGAATACCTTATTTGGACACACAACTTGCATGGGCTTGGTTTTGCTCCCTCTTCTGATAACCTACACTTAAAAATCGGAAGGCTTGTTCTTTGAGACTAGTGTTCAGAGTTGTTTAAGAACTGAAACCATAAGAATTTCAGAATGCTAATTTGAACACTTCCATTATTACCTAATGATAACACTTTCAAAAGTTCTTTTTTTTTTGTGAACAAAATGCATTCATTTAAATCTGAAAATAGCCCAATAAAAATCTAGTGAAATAATTTGTTACTACTTGCAAATATTTTTCTACTATTCTGAGTTCTAGATCAGCTTGCGTGTAAAATTTTTACTGCACAAAACCCACCTGATACAATGCACAGTTTTCTTCAGAAAAATACATGAGATATGAAAAATAATGACCTGGTGCCAGGCGTGGTTTTATATAGTGTGTGTAATGCAAAAATAATGAACATATACAAGCACGTAGGCCTAATTTAAGTGACAAATGTAGTTGGAAGATAACACTGCAAACCATAGTTCTGATCAGTCACATGCTGTTGTTTGGAGCTCTGCTTAACTGGGACTTCACGCTGGAAAGTAAATTTCAGTGCATGTCCACACGTGCACTGTTATGTATCATGTTTTATTTTACTACCAGTGACATTGGAATAACTCTAGATTGCGTGATTTTTGTAGGCTTAAATTAAATCTTTAGGTAAGTATGTAATATTGGATATAAATTGAGCTGATGTCTGTATACTATGCAGATAATCACCTGAGATAACACCTCAACACAAGATTTCAGAAATTGCTGGCACATAAGTAACACTGAAATGCTTTTTCATAAAGTTTAAAACCAAAGCAGACAGTTAGATTATCTCATTAAACAACAAAAATTTTGTTTTAGTTCCATTGTCTTAGTCTAAGCATATTTACAAGATCATCAGAACTTTTTCAACTAGTATGACGTTTTGGTGACTGGTTCGTCCTTTTTTAGGTTTATGTGTGTTATGTATATGAGAAGTGTCTGAAGATATGGTTCTAGAGTGCATTGTTTCATTACTTGGGATCTCAAAAGTCATCTGAAGCAGCCAATAGATTTGAAATGCTGAGAAGTGGAAAATAAAATGCAAATAGTTCTGAATGTGTCTACAAGACATACTATCTGCACTTGAATTTTTCCAAAAGACAAGGACTACTATCTTTCATGAGAAAAATACGGACATGTTAAAATACCTATTTTGTAAAATAGAAGCAAAATATTACAAAAATCTGATGATCACGAGGATGTTATAAAAGTGTCCTTTTCCTGACTCACATGATCACCCCAAGTGTCACATGGCATGAATATCCCCAAGGGACAGATTTTTTTCTGTGATTGGTGGTGTGCTGGGTCCACAGTAAGTCAATGATTCTGTAAATAAGACCTGACCGCAGGATAAGTGGTAGGCTGCTGTCTGAGGAGGGATGAAAGGAGGACAGCCATTGCTCTGCTCTGGAGCTCCCACTGAAGGTAGGAGGCTGTTACTGAGACTGAATCTTACAAAGAAAATTAGTTTTAACAGTGTGACTCATGCATTACAGTAAGATTCCTTACAGGACTGCTGAGACTAAATTAATGATTTTCATGGACTGGATGGTTGAAGATTCCATAAGAGAAGAAGTAAAAGCCAGGTGGATATGGTTCAAATTATTTCAGCTGAATCTCTCTCTAGATTCAGTATCCTTGCAGGGCTGTAAAGAAGCCAAAAAATCTCCCCACAGTTGGGCTCAACTTCAGAAAGGACAATTATAAACAGGGACTCCTGTCAGGGAAAACCTGGAAGGAATACTAAGAGAGTTAAGTCATAGCAGATGGCACAGAGACTATTTAAGGTGTTGCATTGAAGGCAGAGGGCAAATATATCCTGCTTAGCAAGAAAGGATTAAGAAAGGGTAAAAGGAAAATACTTTGCTAAGTAGTAAAGTGTCAGAGGCTACTGATGACAAGAACACATCCTTCAGATAGCTGAAAATTTTTAAAGAGGATGTGAGGACTTCAAGATTATTAACATAAATAAATAAATAAATGCAACAGCATGGTTTATCAAAACAATTGCAAGATACATACGAGATTTGTTGACTAAAGTAGTTGCAAGAAACGTAAGAGTTAAGAAATTCTATGTCTACAATAGAGCAGAAGGAAGTCTGGCAAAAATTCTGTAATGCCAAAAGATAATCAAGGAAAACAGAAGCACTTGGAAGAAGTTACAGGAAAAAAATTCCCTTAAGTTTTTAATTCTGCTTGTTCTCTAGAAGGGCTTTGGCAGATTCTTACACATAACCTTTTCCCTGTGGAGGAATTCATATGGCTTTGTCAGTATGAGGTGTTACAAAACAAAATAAAGAGGTACACACCTAAGATTTTTAAAGGCATTCAGGGATGGAATAGTCAAAATGGTAACTGTGGTGTGAAATTATTTTATAAAACTACTTTGATGGCTTTTGAGATGTGAGATTGAAACTATGTTCCAATTTTAAAATAAATTTCAGAAAGGTTGAAAGAAGAGTATAGACAATTAGATCAGTACTGGGCAAAACAGCTGAAACTATAGTAATACTTCTTTGAAAATAACTAGAATGTATTTAACAATGTCAATATTACCAAACACTACAGAAAATTGCACAGCTAGGTAAGAGAAAATACAGAGAAAACTGCAGCTGGTTAGGAGGAAATTTCCTGCATTCATTAAGAAAAATGTAAAATCTGGGAGAAAATGGTGATTTTTGTCAGTTTTGCAGTGGACAGAGGTCCTGAGTGAAATTTCATGGGGCATGTACTGGGATCCATGCATTTCAACATATATTTGAACATGTGAATATGCTGGAAAACTAGTGTATAGTTATTTGGTAAATTTGCTGAGTTATTAAAAGTATTAAATATGAGTGGCCTGAATGACTGGTTATTAAAATGTAAAATGGAACTCAGTGAAGATAAATGTAAATGGATATGTATGAAGACAATTTTGTATTTTGCATATTTCCCCTAGCTTTATATCTAGCAGTTAAATGTTTCTATGGAAATGTAAGTCTTGTGCTTAGGATGTAGAAAAAAATGCAAGTATGCAGTTAAAAATTGCTAGGTAAGTAAGAGAAAATAAGTGAATATCATTGTATCAATAAACAGAAGTACAGTAGGCCAAGAAAGTTAACTTTTTCAACACTATGTCCAGTTCCTCATCTGAAAAAAAAAAATTATTTAAATTGAAAAAGCTTCAGGGAATGAATTACAAAGGTAGTGAAATGGTAGAATCAGACTTTACCATTGAGAAGTGGTACCAGACTCTACCACATAAGAAGTGACAGCAGGTAACAATTCGTCTGCTCAACAGAAGTGTGAAAGAGAAGTAGAGCAGTAAGATCATGAAGGGCACGACACGTTCCAAGGTAGGGGACATCAAACAAAACTTGCCACTCAAGCTCAAAAACAGCTCAACAGTAGTTAGTTAAGCACCGTGGAGAGAAACTGGAACTCCTTCACTCAACATACTGCATATGCTAAAAGTTTATAGAGTCTGTGAGGAGCACAGTAAATATAGTAATGGAGAGCTGCCAAATGAAGAGATCCTGCTTTTGCCTCAACCACAACCCATTGGTGTCAGGGAGAGTGGCATTAAGATGAATTTCTAGATGCACATTATTAATCACTGTCAAGTCTTTTTATAGCCCACATACACCACTTACATAAGCCAAAAGCCTTGGTCAGAAAATTCACCTATGTATTAGTTCATTAACCTGTTACATTGAGTTTTAGGTACTGAAATTTGAACAGACACATGTAGTAATTAAGAAGACTAATGCCAGGCAGAGAGATATGTTTCAAGAAGTAAAATATCCCCAAGTAACAAAAGCTGCTTAGTGTTGATTATATATTTCTTTAAAAGTAAATGCATGTGTGTGTTTATTTGCTTCCTTAGCTTTAACACTGAAATAAACATACCAATTAATACAGGTGCATTGCAAGTTGTGAATGGAAACGATCTGGATCATCAGAATGAAGAGCTTAGAATTTATTTCTGAGACCCACATTGATTGGGAGTCCATTTGAATTACTTACAATTGAATAACTAAGGAGTTTTTGCACACTTCCACCAAACTGACAGCAACTGGACATATGAGAAACCCATTATTTATAGTGAAAACTTTACTTTGACACTTTATTAGAGATATTAATACTTAAAATGTATCTTACTAAGAAGATCTAGTCAATAGAATTTAGATCTTTTGCAAGTTGAATTGCTAGACCAAATAAGATTATAAATGAACCAAAAGCACAATATTGATTATTATTCTATGTATCACTGTTACAGTTTTGGTACTACTGATGAAACAGCACAATACATTTGGTTTTGAAATTGCTTTATCATTAGACCAAATGCTTGCTTTTTTTTCCAGTTCCTGTATAAGTTTCTCCTTTCATATTCCTAAAAGAGACCTCTGATTTGTTCATTCCTCTGTTTTCCAACTACAGTTGTCACTGTGACATTATATAACTAACTTAGTTTGTCTCTTGGGAATTTTTTGTCTGTTGATCATATGCCCTGTCCTTTTCTTTTGAGAACAGATCTTGCAGAATGATCTTGTGTTAGCAGACTTAGTTTAATGTAGCTTGCACTGATTTTAGCTTATGGAAAAGTAAATACTTGGTATTTGTATGCAGAAACTAACTAAAGACACTATTTTTTCTATAGGCTGTTTAATTTTTTTAAGAATAGATAATTTCACATATCTTGAAAATGGATGGAAAGTATTTCTATCTGCCTGGTTATGGCTTTGTTCCATTTGAACTAGCAATGTGATGTTTTGCACAGAATGAAATGAACTGAAAGAAATCACCACTACATGGCTAATCTGTTTCTACTTTCAAAATTTTTACTTTTCTGACTCTGTAGAGGATCCTAGATCACACTTAAACAGATTTTTGATTAGGATTTGAAGTTTCTTTATTTTTTTATTGTATATAAAGAGAATAATAAACAAAGAATGATAAAATGTAGAGTGTCAAAAGGGAGATCTTTATAAAAGTAAAAATAAAATAGAAAAGTAAAAAATTCAATTTGTTTTGGAAAGATGCAGTCACAAGTTAACTGAAAATGCATTATAAGACACGTAGCTAAAACACCTTAATTGTGACATGGAGAAAATTAACAGGTCTGCCTGCGTGAAGGGGTGCTTTTATCCTGAGATCCATCTAATTTTTCTCTAAAAGTCAGCTAGCTATTCTGTAGAAGACTCCAAGGGGATTACTCCAGCAATATTGTAAATAGGTCAAAATCTGCTGGTTTGAAATCTGGAGTCCAAGTCCATGGCTTATCTTCTGTGCCTGTCTCCAGATCTTGATTGCAGTCTTTTCCTGGTCATTGCAAACCAAACTGGC